GAATACGTTACAGAATACATTTTGGGGCATGTAATCTGTATTCTGTAATGGAATACATTTTAAAAGTAACCTTCCCAACACTGGTCATTGCTATCTGACCTAAAACTACGATTTAGTTATAGGACAGCAAAGTTTACTAATGCAGCTTTCTGGAGGCAGGAGGTTCTTGCACATTAAAACGTTTACAAACCAATTTTAAAGTGTTTTTCTTCATTTGTTTTTTCTTTTTTAATTTTTATTTTCTGTTAGAATTGTATTACTTTTCTGTTTGATTGGTTGGCCTGCTTTGTGGTGGATTTTTCCACACAGTTTTAATACACTGAGATGGTGACAGAGAAAACACTCTTCACTAACCAATGGGTAACATCATAGTGGCTCTCCTTTTTTTTATACAGTCTATGACTACAGGCAAGAAAAACTATAGATTTTGGGGTTACCTGTCCCTACAAATCCATAATCATAATCAAGTTACAGTGATTATTCTTGATTAAAATAGACACAAAATAGACCACTTACCATGACAAATGCAAAATAGACTCCTTAAATAGAAAAACATTAGGCAGCAGCTTTTTTTATTTAAAAAAAACGGTTTACAAGCAGAGATACAGTGAAAGAGGAAATGCGAACAAATCCTACAGCCTTCATGTTCACCTTAACTGGAGTTCATTATGGATATCTTTATAAAATAAACTTATATCTAACCAGGAATTCATGATTGTGGCATCAGGCTGTGTGTGTGTGTGTGTGTGTGTGTGTGTGTGTGTGTGTATAAAAACTGTGAAGCCCAAAGCGTAACCCTTTTTCTCGGGGTTCAGGTGGTGTTGAGTGGTTTTTCAGGATGCTGTGTGTTGTTTTGGCTGCTCTTGTACGCCTCGCTGAGCTGTTGAAGGTCCCTTAGCAGACCTGCAAACTGCTCCTCCTGTGTGAGCACATTAAAAACAGCAGTTAATATGCTGAAATCATCCACTGTTGCTAAACTTTAAATATCCAGTACCTTAAAGGGAACATATTTGGTTAAGAAATACAAATTAGCTTGTTTAAAGGGCATCAAATACACTTAAACCACTCTCAGATCATTTCTTATCAAACTTAATCAGCATAGTTGCATTTAACTGCTTTTAAATATTCAGTTTTTATGGGTCTACAGCATATGAAACTGTAATCTTTTAGCCTACTGATAACAATAGAGGCAGTGTTTGAAATATGCAGAGGATGTTTATCTATCAGCAGTGATCCGGGCTTTTTCCTGCATAAGGTTTTGGCATTCCCCTAAAGTAAAGTCACCGGCATTCTGCTAAATATTTTGAGGGTTTAATTTAATCAGGCGTAAAATACACTGT